ATGAAGGAGGTTATAATTGCTTGCATTGGGACATAATACTCGTCTCTCGTAGGTTAGAGAGTTGAAAGTTACATGGTTGGATTCTGGAGGATCCCAGCCGCAGTTGAGATAAGAAAGGATGAACCTACTCACAGTGAAGCTAATAAATACAACAAATATACTTTTTATGGATGAAAGATTCATTTTATTAGCCTCATGGCCCCTCTCTTCACTAAGCCCCCCTTCCAAACCATACCTTATATTCAATAATTCATAGCTGCAGCTTTCATCGAGTTTCATTTGTCGATAGCTTCCCGAACGAAATGATAGGAAGACATGGAAATGTTCGCCAATATGTCGAATATATTGAGCGAATTCGGTAAATTAGTTCACGGAATTCATACTGAAGATTGGAGACAAAAGTTTCTGCCCTTTCTCCCTGGGAAATAAAGGCTGGGTGAAAACCGCCTATGGGATCATCTTCCCTGGGTGAAAACCCCCCACCTCCCTCCCTCATCAGTTTTTGTCAAGGCTAACAGTCAATCCTTTCATTGTCCTGTCCTATTATTGTTTTTAAATATAAACGATTGGCGCAGTTCGTGTGCTCTATTTCCCTTCTCCAGCGACGGCAGGAGTAAAAATTCTTCTTAAAATTTTCTTAAAAATAAGAAATATTACGATATGCATATTATCGCCGATAAGGCATATATAGAACGATATCGCGATAATCGACACGGCCCAACATGTAACCAGAAAAATATCCTTGAGAATGTCACACCTAAAATGCAGGTTGAAGAGTGTCCTTTTTTGGGCCACCCTGTATTCAGTAAGAGCTGACGTTTGTCTGTCCACCGGAGCCCTGCACGGGTCGCTTTTCCGAACCCGACACGATCGGCCCGATTCGAATCGCGGTCCACCCGACCCAACACTCGATCCCCGGACTGAGCTTTACCTAACCCTTTTTAACCCGCGGGTCGTGTTGGGTCGATGAAATTTGGTATGTAAGGAAATTGGGGAATTTGGGGGAGGGGGGTGAATGACGGGACGCATCCAATATTTATTGAACTAGAAGTCAATTAACCTCAAATAAGAAGACGTGAATGTTTCACGGTTAGCAGCTAGTATCTATGATAATATATATAGACGATCCTGACTGACTGCGCTAATTCTAACCATGTTCTAGAAAGGTTAGAAATCTGAAACTTAGTACACAAGTAACTATTGGGATGCAGGGTTCAGAGAAAAATCTGACTTTGGAGGTACATGCCCTGGAGCCACCCATTTTGGGGGGAGATGTTTTCAATGATATATATTTGCTTCGGTCAAACGGAGAGACATGGAAAGCTGAAACTTGGCATGGACGTGATTACTGAGACACAAATATCAGGAAAAATGTCAAGTTTCAGATGCATGCCCTGGGGGCATACTTTTGGGGGGGTGACGTTTTCAAATAATTTTTTTTTTGTCCTAGAGAATTGACCAGAGATAGAAAGGTGAAACTTGAGACATAAGTACCTTTTGAGAATCTGAATTCAGAAAAATTCAGGCTTTGGAGATAAATGCCCTGGGGGCACAAATTTCAGGGGAGATATTTTCAAATATATTTTTTCCTTCAGTCAAACGGACGAACATGGAAAGCTGAAACGTGACTTGGATGTTCCTACTGAGACTGAGTTCAGGTAAAATGTCAAGTTTTAGATACATGGCCTGGGGGCATGTTTTCTTTTAAGTTCTTTTTCCGGAAACTTTTCTGATTTAATGAAGGAGAGAACTAAAGAAAGTTGAAACTTTGAGCAGAAGTACCTGTTCCATTGCTGAGCACATGTCCTACTTTTCAAATATGTCCCCTCAGGGCAGATTCTGAAGAAATTTGAATTTAGGCACAAAAGAAACAATGGGAGTTATTATTCCGAGGAAAATATCGGCTTGTTCTCCATCGATACACATTCCAAAGGGCACATTCTTTTACTACGTTTTTGCCACTTTGAAAATAAATTATTGAATGAATCACTATCCTGGTAATGGAGCGGCGAAGGCGCGACAATATCGAGTTTGTTTGCCCTTCGGGCAAACAAACTCGCTAGTACTTGATATTGCCATCTTCATGCTTCCTCAATGTGACCTCCTTCAACACAATTCTAGTCTAATCTTCTGGATCCACGAGTATGTTACACGCGTTTCAGTCGTGACATTTAGATTTAAACGAGTTCGGCTCTTAGTTGGATACGAATACGATTCGGTAATGGTGTTATGGGAATTTCATCAGCCCTAAATATGCTTTCTCAAGTGCTTTTAAACTTCGTGAATTCGCGAGCTTGCAAGCTGACACCTCCAGTACTACGAAAATCCGTCAATACGTGTCGGGTAACTCGTGGCATACAACCGCGTCGCCGTGACTCCAGGCTCACACCAATCGCAAAATACAGTGTAAAGGCGGCACGACACAGCACAAGCTCTTGTGCACTATGTTGACTCTCGTCCAACTCTTTGCAAAGAACATTTGCATCCGCACCTACATATATTTAATTGACAGTCCATTTGCCCGTTTTCTTCGTGAATCCAAGAAATTTCAGTTATCCCACAATTTGGTGACCTTCCCCACCATCAGATCCTGACTGTCCGTCACCTATTCTCTAGCTCAAATTCGGCTATACATTTATTGCAGGTCTACAGCCAGCTGAACCTCTAAAGCCTGCTCATCGATCTACGTTATCCGAATGACCGGGAGATGTTTTAATTCATCGCCAATAGCATCCTGGAAGACTTGAGTACATTTTTTCTATTTCGCACTTTTCCGATCGCATAATCCAACCAACATCAAAGGGTGCCATTCAGAAAAAAAAGTTTAATTGGAAAGTGATTACATTTCCATAACTTTTATTGAGAATTTGGGTGAAAGCAGACCTACAAAGCGACAGAAGGCCGCCTAGTCACAAGGTGTAGCAGTCTATCGATGCAGCAAGTGGTCCATCAGGGTTGGTTCTTCCGATCTACGAATCATAGCACATGGTCACTGTCTTTGCTCGAATCCGATCTCTTTATTAGGTAGCGCGAACTCGTGTACTCGGTAGCACGGAAACAAGTTTGAAAATAAAACGGGACAGAAAAATATGTTTTCTGAACATTAAAGATTTTTTATTCAGAACACCAAGCTTAAGGAGAAGTAAAAATGAAAGTAACACATTTCGTTTTGTCGTTTTAACGACTTTTGAGAGGACATTAATCTTTTAGCAAAAATCTTTTTACAGTATAGCATTCTTGCGGGGGAATGCCTACTCCCTCATCTTCATAAAAAGCATGGAGCAATGATTTCCAGCGAAATCTTACGGAATGGCTCTCTTTGAGGCTGGACGATGACTATTTCTCAACAAGAAAAGTGCTGAAAGGGGAAAAGGCCTTTTTTTTATTGTAGACGTATTGATGGCTAGGATAAGTTGGGCTACATTGTTGCATGATCATAGAAACAGTGAAACACTCAAAGAATGATCATCAGTCATGTAGTCGTACAGTTCTCCTTTCAGTCCTGCTCTTTTTCTGCTGATGGTGCATTAATGGTGTAGAATCTTATTACATTTATTTTCCACTTTAACGACACGACCTTTGAGCTTAAATGTAAAATTAAAATTGAGTTAACCTCTATCCATCCATGCCTCAGTCCACGTATACTTTTTTTTTAAGACAGAACATGTGAACGTTTTACATTACGCACAAAGAGGTGCCTGCATGGCACAAACACTACAACCGAAATCAGTCCCTTAGACAGGTGCAATCCTCCACTATCCCATAAGAGGTTTATGGGTTGCCAATGCCCGAGTGGTTTTAAGTGATACGGGTGAACGACACTACTTAATGTAAAACGCCTGTACCAAGGCTAGGCAGATGCCACTCTCCTCCATCAAAAGGCGACCAGTCGGTAAAGAGTCGGGCACCTCCAATGTTTCAATTGGAAGCCGGAACCTTTTGACCACCGAAATCGGTGACAATACTGTCCTCGTTACCCACAGAACACCCTAAGTTAACTAGCGTTAAGTTAACGCTAACAGTCCCGCCATATGCATGTCATATGTCTGAACCCGAAGGTATGTAGTATACCTGTACAAGGAGTCTGATAAGTCACTGATCCATTTCAAATTGCTATAACTTTTGTAGCACTCATGTGACTACGTTTCAATTTTTGCACCATATTACCCAATCATTGGAGTTTCTTACGTATAGTTTTTGTTTTGTTTTATTTCAGAATTGAGTAATGATTGACTTCAAATTGACGGTTAGTGACAGAGCACGTATTGTTGCCCGTTACGAGGTGTGGGCTCGATTGTGAAGGTGCAGCGTTTGTGGCTAAGTGTTAAAGGGGTGCACGCCATGCTTAACAAAAACACAACAAAGAATTGCCACAAAAAGCTTCTGACTAAAGGGTCAGTGTGTGATAAAGGGTCATGGCCTCCACTGTGGTAATGTTTGCCGTTCTTGAGGTGGAATGTCGACCACTTCTGGGTAACATACACATTGCTTTAAAACACACACAGAAAAAATCCACATCGGTGTCCCACAAAGACTGCAGGATACCATACCATACTAGTAAAATTTGTACTACCTCTAGCTCTAATGAGCTTCAGGCCAGCATAAAGCGCTACGGCTTGTAGCAAAAAGATATGAATAGGGCATTAGGGACACAAATTGTTAAGCAGGATTAGGATTCAGGATCTGGGTGGGGTTATCAACAACTTGAAATAAGCACAATCCTGACTTGTGCATGAAGAGTAGTGCTCTTTAGGAAGCACCCACACAACCATTTCAATGTAATTGTGAACAGGATTGGCACATTCCATGGTTATCCTTGTTTATTCAAAAGTGATGGTTGCTCATCTCATAAAGTGATGAAAATAGATTTTCATACGTTATTTTCATGGAGGTGGCACAGTAACTTTTTTCAAGCAGCTTCATTGGCTACTATATTTCCATCTGTCTGTTGATGATTAGGCATTTAACAAAATGCAACTTGACCCAAAACAAGCAATCAAGAGAAAAGCACAAAAAGGCATCAGTTTATTTCATGATGCCAATACAGACACATTCATACTATTACAGATACTTCAAGACAAGAATGTAATGAATAATGAAGCTTCATGAACAAGAGAATCTTAAAAAAATATTATCCATGGCAAACCTACAATATTCATAAGGTATAATACAAATGAATCACATTCAAAGTCACAGCAATTAGGAATCTTGTCCTGTCTGAAGCAAATGCAGTGCTTTCTGTAGGTTTTCAACAGCAGTGGGAACATCTTCATAGTTCAGGGCACTCTGAGCAAACTTGCAGTACTTCTGTGCCTTTGCTACAGCATCACAAGATAGCTCTACGCCACCTGGAAAGGAATCAGTAATGTTGAGAACACTGCATCATGTTTATATGCAAAAATTGGATAATATTTCTAACATTTTGTATCTAGACACATGATACGTGACTGTCAACTTCCTGAAACTTTGCAATATTCATATTTTCACTAACCAAGCCTTTAGTTGGCAAAGAATCTTAAAAATTGGCTGTTTCTAGAGAGGTTTATGTCTGACCACTCCACCACAAAATTTATTTTCCTTCTTGGATGCAGAGAGGAGATAATGGTAATAAAAATGGTGAATTTTGGGGGGAAATTCCAACATCCAGGGGGCACGAAGTTCCTGTAAAATACCAATGAACAAGTTATTCTCTATAAAACATGATTTTTTTGGAGTCTACTACGAAACTAGTCGCATTAAAATTAGATAATAACTTCAGAATGTATAACAGCTATATCCCATGAATTATTATTTCTCAAAAATGTAAAAATTCATATTTTGAAAACTATTCCATGTAAGAAACAGACATTTTGACTGTATAGCTATTTTCATTAATACCTCTGGGGATGAAAATCGTCAAGAAAATCCAAGATGGTATTGCCACTCCTTTTTTGCTCTGAGTGATGTGATGCAAAATCGCATGGCTAAAACAATGAAATGTCAAGTAAGGTGCAAGATTATATTTGGTTATGGTCTTTGTGGGCAATATTCACAACTCAATTTGAGGAATATTTAATCCTATGTTGAATGATGAAATGCTTCAGGGCAGAGATGGAAAAAGTTCTGTAACATAGTAACCAGATTACCGGGCAGGGTAGCGGCCGATTGGGAAAGCAAGGCAGGAAGAAAATAAATAAATAAATAACAGATAGAAAGGCGAGTGGGAAAGAAGGAAATGTTGCGAGAAGAAAGAGCGGGAAGACAAAAGACGGTCGGAGTGTTCGGGATGCAATATGATAATGGATTGAAGAAAGGTAAATGACGACTGACTGTGAAAAGATGAAGCCCCCAAGAGGCATCGAGAAGTTGATATCGGCGACACGGGAAGATTAAGCACCTGTGCGAAAACGGGAAGATATTCCCATGTGACTGATATTGGAAGTTCAGGGACGAGGAGATCGATCTTTTCCTCCCGTGCCGAGCGCGTTGACAGGAAGATCTCGGTATTGCGTATTTCCTCAATTCTAGGGTTGTAGGATCTCGCCCTAATGAGGATAAAAGGTGACGAGTGGGGACATCAATCAAATTCGCCTTACTGTAAAATAGAGGCAGCCTTGTCATCGGTATGAAGACGGGATTATAATTTTGAATGCATATTTCATGATGTGAGAGAAACTGATCACCGAATTAGACAGCGTCTTGCGCCTCGGAAACCCCTTCCTTTTCACTTTAACCAATCGGTCGACAGTTAGCCTCGCGTCACCTGACTTTCCGCTGATAGATTAATAATAATAATATTGATACCCTTCGCGCCATTTTCAAGCGACCTTATTTGGCCTCACCGTCGAAAAAATACATTGATCTCCATTCCCGCATCGGAGCACCCTCCAATTTCATCCCGCTCTCTCGATTCCGCACCTCACGCACGTGGCTCTATGCCAGACCTCCTGGTACATAGCAATTCGTATGTACTGTCAATTCGTACGCATCCTGTCGCTGAGAGAATATCTGTTGGTGTCTAGCGACGGAGTGCCCTAATTGAACCCTTAAACCCTTCGGCAAGCCAAAGAGCTCATAAATCCAGCTCTTGATCTCCATTTTGGAGGAAGAAGTAGCTTGCATTTTTTTGCGAAGAATGCAGCAAGCATACAAGTTGAAGTTACTTGGTGTTTCAGAGGTCGTTGACCGACTGAATAGACAGAGGGGAGGCTTGGAGTATGAATTCAATAAAATCAAGATTCCAGTTGAGAAATGAAAATATTGATGGAAGTGTTTCTCTGCAGAAAAACCTTTAGAGACCCTTTCAAATGACATCTTCAATTTTATTAAATGCCAAGGGCTTCTGAATGGCTGCACCTCTGTGCACTCCCCATTAGATCCTGCTAGGGGCCTACACATAGGCGTTTTCATCGAATCAGAAGTGGTGGCTTAAAATTGATTTCTTGCCAAACACCCCCCCCCCCCCCATTCGTCTATGCTCAGCCCCCAAACACAGGGTCACTTCAAGCAGAAGGGAAGCAGAACGTTTTCTACTTCTGCTTCAAGGTAATCCTTATTAAATTGAGCATGAGACAATAATAAAACAGAAGGGCTAGTGAAGTTCTTGGGAAAAAGGTGCATGTGAATGTGTTTACAACTAGCAGAGTTGCAGAAAGCAGAATGTGGGGAGAATTCTGTAAATGAGTTTGGACAGGAGATATAGCAGCATTGGGGGTGGGGTTTCCAGATATATCAGATTAAGCTTCTCCAACCAAAATGAAGCAATTAACAATTCATTGAGACAGTTCCCACTTTTTCATGGTGGATCTCAATCCATATTTTTTGTACATTTTTCAAGCAGATTTCATAAGCCATTGGAGAAGAGAATTGACTTAAGTTGACACTTTCAATAAAGAGACAGAACATCAACTGTTGATTTGTTAAAGTTCAGCAGAATGAAGTGATGCCTCTGACCTCCAGTCATTCTGCATTGCTTTGCAAATTAAAGAAGTGAAAACTTGAGAGGAACTTTCATTAAGTTCTGTTAGCAAGATGAATATATTTCTCCATTATCAACAACTTCAAACCTTAGGTGAGATTCTTTTATGAGCCAAGAGGAAGAGTTTTCTCATACTCTGAAATAAAAAATTGTTTTTTAAACTCTCCTAAAATTGCTCAAAATTCTGGGCAATCCAATGCAATGTTCAAAAAAATTATTATAAGAAAGGGGAACAAAAGCCTAATATCCCACATGTTCAACTTAGTTCTATCCATAAATAAAGCTATTACACTCACTGGCAGCCAAAGGTCCAGGTTTGTCAGATGTGGGTTCTGTGGCACCTGAGTTCCACATCTGGGGATGCTGTTCACCTAAGCTGCTGGGGTTTCCAGGACGACTTGGACTAGGAGATGGGTGAGGTGGAATTGTGCCAGAACCAACTGGTGGTTGAGGAAGGAAACCTCCAAAGTTGGAAGGATAGGGCGGCTGAGAACCTCCAAACCCTAGGTCTTGTGGTCTCTGAAAATTCTCATTTGTCCTTCCTGATCAAACATGAAAAAATGGGAAAATTTAGCATGAATATCCATATAAAACATGGGCTGGTATGCAAGAATGCATTAAACTGATGAAATAGCTATTTTGAAAATATCTACTTAGTCTTGCCATAAATACTGTTACAAGGTTTTTTGGGGATAACTGTAAATATAAAACATACGCTGTATTCGCTAACACTTATTTCCCAACATAATTACAAACAGATTACAGAAACATTATTCAAAATGTCCACCCCTGGCCTTCACACACTTGAGACTTTCAATATTTGGATAACTTATGTGGCAGGCCATCAGCTCCAACTCTGCCCACAGTTTGTAGTTCAGTGGGTTCAAGTCAGGGCTCCCAGATGGCCTTGATGAACTCGGGGGACATTGCTGGTTAGCCACTCCTGTGTTGTCTTAGCCTTGTGAGCAGGTGCAGAGTCTTGCTGGAAGATCCAGTTGCCCTCATTGAACCTTGTTTGGCTGAGAGGCTTCAATGACTTCTCTAAGACACCTTCCTGGTCTTCCTGGTACACCTTGGCAGATGTCTTCACTGCTTGCTCGCAAAAATGCAGCTTGGTGACACCCTCATAGCTCACCCCCCACCAAACCATGACGGAAGCAGGATGGTGACCTCTCTCCATCATATGGATGACTTCTGTAGCTTCCCAAGAGTCGTGGGCATACACTTGGTCATTTTGCCGGTTGAATTTTTCTTCAATTGTGAAAATTTTCTCATCAGTAAAGGGGACTTTATGGTGTCTGTTTTGCACGTACCTCTGCAGCAACACTTTTGATCGCAACCTCCTGATTTCTTTCAGAGATGCGTCAGCATGTGTCCTGTGCTTCTTTGGTAAGCACCCATTATTAGGTCTGATTTAATCAACTGAGACATGCTTCTAGTCGAGATGGCCATTTCCCTGGCCATCACTTTCTGCTTGCGGAGAGGATTTCGCTGAATCCTGTTACTAACTGCTTTGATGACTCGTGGTGTTCTGGCAGTGCATGGACGTCCAGATCTAGAGCGGTCTTGTACTCCCTGAGTATCATTGAAACGTTAGATAGCTTGGTAAACAAACTGCCGAAGGATTCCAAGTGGCTGCAAAGTCTTGAAAATGGTTGCAGGTTTCTGATACACTATGTGCAGGGCAATCACTGCTATGCAATTCTCTTTGTCACCCTACTCCATGCAACACAAAACCAAAATGTTACCAAACAATATGGTGGATAGTACACTGCAGAGTTACTAGGTACAATATTCTAGCTTCTTTTGCTAGAATGCTAGGAACATGTAAATCTTGTAACAGTATTTATGGCAGAACTAGGTATCATATGAACATTTGATAGGTTCAATAGGTTGACCATATACAGAACCATTTTATACCTATCATGATACACTGGTGGACAAAATTAAGGTAATACGTTTTTTTTTAAGAAATATTTTAATTACAATAGTAAATTAGAGGATGAAAATAAGTTGCTATATGTAATTTTTCATGCACATTCTGAATGCCCAATTGAAATTGATCTATGTGCTTTGCAACATGCAAATTAGTGAAGCCTATAAAAAGGCAGCAGCTATTGACTTCTTCTAAGCATGTCTGTTCCATGCTGGAACATGTAATTTTTCATTTCATTATATGATTATCATAACTTTGTTATTACTGGTCCAAATCTTATCCTTTTTTATACACTTATTGGCAATGAGAAATTGTATCTTTGTACAAAGTTTCATTTATATACCTCACACAATAAAAACATCATTCTGGTTTTTGTGATTGTTACCTTAATTTTGTCCACCAGTGTAGGTATAAGAATCGCTTCAATCTATTATGATCCAGAGCTTGTTTATTATACTTATAATGAGCTACCAGGGTGGATTGCAGTGCACTTTACTAACCCAATAATTATGTGAACAATCACAAGTAGTGTTGCAACAGCTGCTCTGGGATGGATTAAATCCTTTAGAGTATTTTGTATCAAGCCACGGCAATAGGAATTCAAGCTTCAGTTTCGTAAATGGAGACAGATTAATACCATTATACTATCACACAACACTCTGATCAGTCATAATGCAAGCAAAAACACAAGGCATTGTTGCTGGGTGCAAGACAATGGATAGGAGGTTGTCATCAGGAAGATTCACAATCACTTATCATGATACGTATTTTTTTCCGATTGTAATAGGTATGAAGATACTTTTCAAAATAGACCTCATGATGGATACCTATTAATTGTTCTTGCATACAGAATCAAGCAAATTATAGACCTATCACCTGATACCTATCATGATAGCAACCATGTAATATGCTATCAAGTGATAGGTTCTTGCATACAGGCCAAGGTTGTGATCACATAGGGCAATTGTGTTCTGAATTAAAAATATGAATAGAAATAATGAAAATTTTGGTTGGCTATAGCTTACCTTCACCAATACCAGTACCAAACTCATTCTCTGCAGTTTCATCTTCTTCCCCTGCTGGACCAGGGACAGGAGTTTCTCCATTTTTGAGACAGTTATGAATATATGCAGCCTTCCATTTGGCATACTTTCTATGATGGGCATTCTCCTCTGTCAGTTCTCCAAATTCTGTCAAGACGTCGAATAACAACCCTGCAGTGTAAAATGCCTTGACAACATTCCTAAAAGAAAGGAAAAAAAAACATGGAAAGCTCATGCCAGTGTTGTAGTCCTAGTATTTAAAAAATTCCATCACTATACATACTTGTTGAAACGTGCCATGCGATCTTCAGAGTCAGCATACAGAAAGAGCTTGATGGCATAATTTTCAATATGTGCCTGAGCCACTACATCATTTGTGACAGCTTCATTCTCCTTATGAGCCTGCTTGAACTTCTCTAGCCATTCCATGATGGCAGTAAGAAGGGTGAGGCTCTCCTTGGACTTGCGGTCTATCTTCAGACCTGTTTGGAGGGCATGCAGTCGACCTGCCATGAAAAAGTGAAAATAAATAAGGGAATTCTTCTTTGTGCATAACAGGACTCATTAAGAGAACTTACACCAGTAACCTATGACTGGGTCTCGCTGGTCATGTTCTGTGGCAGTCTTCAGGTGATGCTGGAGGGGCTTGAGGACTGGGGGTATAGCAGGTAAAGTTGGAGTTCCTGCCATTCTCTACAAGGTTTTGAGAAGTTGTACCTAAAATACTTAGATTATGATTTCATTACCTTTGCATACATATAAATATAAAACAGTATTTCAACCCCTACACAATCAAATTTTGCTACACAACATATAGAGATCCCTGATGAAAATCCTTAAAAGTGAGGAAGCTAGCACTACATGTAGGCAAAAAGAGTACTGGGTAGGGGTAGCAACACATATGTGGATATGAGCCTATATCACATGATCCTCCTCTTGCAATATAATGTAACAAGAAGAAAGGGCAGTGGGTGTAGAAAGGGATTCAAAACAAGTCTGGGCTCAGGCTAGGGTAAAGCCAGATAATACCTGCTATAACACGAATAGTCCTGATCACTGAGGGGAAATGGACAAGTAGGACAACAATTATTCAGTCCAACATGCTTGCAAACAATGTGGTGAAACATGCAGTATATTAAATGTTTGAATATTTCCCAATGTCATTGAAAATTACACAAAAACATTCCATAACAGAATCTTCAAACTGTGCATTGATTTTGACTCAAGTCAAGAATGAGTTTAGCAAGACCCAAGGCAGTCGGCCAAGGATTAGTAAAAATAAGTTAGAAACAGAATCAGGTTCATCATTAGGGCTCACTTGATCTCTGATCAACATAGGCCTAAGCCTATGAAGCCCTCAGTCATGACTGTCATGAGATCATGACACACTACCCTGAATGCTTCATAAAAACATGCTGGCATAGGTTTGCAAATTATGCACAGCAGTATAATTCAAGAACAATATACATAAACATGCATATCACAATCAATCAGAATCTTCTTCAGCATGGCACTGAAGTCGAGCCATGAGTTCTTTAGCAGGATTGAAGACACCAGTAGTCTGAGTCCCACACACATAACACCTTGTAGACTTTTTGTACTGCTGCAATGCACACTTCTCACAAAAATAATGCTTGCACTTAGTTACAACAGGATCTTTGAAGGAATCACGGCAAATGAAACACTTGAAAGGAAGTTCATCTTCATCTGACTCAACTGCATATCGGTCAACATCATCATCATCCTTACCATAAGAGCCTTCCTGCAGTTCTCTTTCAATCTGCCAACCATGCTTGTAATCTGATCGGTCATGCAAGAACTTGCAGCTATCCCCAAAGCCACAAAATCCAGTCTCCTTGTAGTCCTTGCAGATGTCTGGCTGATAATCCCAGCGAACAGTTGCTCTCAGATGTTCAGGTGCACGTATGGGACCTTTCTGAGCAAGTACAGCTTGTTTGTCCAGGCTGGATTCCTTGGCTTTGGTATACTTGGCATAGTTATTTAACCCACGATAGATCTTATCATCTTCTTTCCCTTTGAGCTCTTTCTGGATATCCTTTGCTCTCTCCTGAATGGCCTCTGGATCACGATCCCTTTCTGTGTCAATCTCACTTATGGCTGTTGCTCCCATGTCTTTTGGCCCTTCAGGTTCAGCAGTTCGTTTGGATTTGTATGAAAGATCTGGACTCAAATCTGAAGGATCACTGTCACTGTCATTACTGGGTTGTCTCTGTTTCTTGGAAGTCCTACTCTTGCTGGTTGACTGGACCATAACATTGTCTATGGCCTGTTTCTTTTCCTTTCTGATGACTTGAGTATCATCCTCACTGCTCCCACCTTCATTACTTCCCTTTCTCTTCCGCGCAGCTTTCAAATTAACTTTGCGCTTGAGGAAAAATGTGCACACTGGCTTTTCTTCTGAGGCATGATTGTCCTCTTTCAATAAGTCAAGGCTTCTGTCTTTCTCTGTCATTATACCAGTTAAGAAAAACTCCTGAAACAAAGAGAGCCAGGTCATCAATAGTTAGGGACATAAACACTAGGCCTAAAATGTTTTGTTCCCAATATCCTAACTTCCTGCCTGCCTTACTCAGGTAAGGCCTCACTCACTCTATTTATTAATGTCCCTACCTTCTGCTCATGAAGCAGAAGGTAATGACACTAATCACTACATCAAGTGAAAAACACTGTACAACTGCAGCACATCTGTCCCATATCTAATAACAGAGCACTCAGATTTTACACTTAGTCTTATTCTAATGAGTGAAGTTGCAGAGAAATTAAATGTTATAACAACTTGAGTAAAACAAGGAAATTATAGTAAGATGGTTGTATTCACTAGTAAACAAGTCAAGCAGCAGGCATTTCTGTTAACCAACATGTTCAAGTTGGGTTAAACATGCCAGAAGCATCTTAGTAAATCATTTAAAAAGTACACCGATGAAATAGGCTATTTATAAAATAGGATAGTCTGCCAGGGCACTCTCAGAATATATGCTACATCTCTAGCACATCAAGACAACCTTCAAGTTCTTTGGGAGCTCAAAACCAAGAGACTCATAAAATCTATTCTTTGTGCTGTCCTTCATTCCATCACTTCCCAGAACAAATTTGCTTTCTAATTTAATTATTTTCTTATTCCTTCCTCTTTTCTTTTTTTCCCACGGGACTGAAGATGGATTGATTCATAGCAAAATTTTTGGAAATTGGACTTTCATCACTGATGCTATACACATACTTCATACCATGCACCTAGGTCTAAGTTTAAAATCTTTGGTCCTCCGAGCTAGACCTAAGCCTAAGATGGGAGACTGATGAGGATCTGATGACTATACCACTTAGCTCAGTGGACTATACGTAGACAGGGTGGCCGTGAACGCGATCACCGTCATCCGGGTGACAACGCACGCATGGTTAACCGAATGCGTTCGATTCACTGTTGGCGAAACAGGCTAACCTAGTCTGACGTCATGGCTAAAATTCAGTGATTCTACCCTGTGTTGAAGCAAAGTTAATATATTGAGTACATCTAGATGGGCCCACGATAGGCCTAAGAACGTGCAGTCAGGAAGTGGCCATTATGACGCAATAAACAAGTGGAGTACCGAGTACGGATCCTTCCTGTCATGTCGTCCTCCAAGGCCGCATGTGAACTGATGGGAAAATTATTTAAGTTCGTACTAAGCCTATACACCCTGCTCGGGTGACCACCGTTTCATTTTTTCTCCAGACTTGTCTTCATACCTCCTCCCATCTAAAATCCGTATTAAATATCAAGTTTTCGTATTTTAATAGATTTGCGTTGGTACTGCATCCAGAATGCCTGACAATTAATGCCGGAGTTTTCACTATACAAGCCAAGTCTTCCAAAATGCGATCGTAGAGGTGAGGTGGATGAGCTGGTGCTGATTGGCCAGCTTATTGCCAGAGTTTCTGCGGCAAAGAGGTTAACAGAAGGAACTGAAGAGAATGAAATGAGAAAGAAAAGGCAGCTCTGCCAGTTGACTGTTGGACAGTGCTGACCTGAACTTGCTAATGCTAATGTTTTTTTAAGGAAAGCATTGCCTGGCACCTAAGTTGATGAATATGACTAAATTTCCTACAAGCTGCCTCTCAGCTAGGCAAGATTAATCATTAGGGAAACACCTAAAGATCTAGGAAATGAACCATAGGGAAATAAAGTTCATGTGCTCTTGTTCATGCTTTTTTTTGGTCATAGTTTACCTCTTATTTTCCTGATTCATGAGCTAAAGATTGAGAGAGTTAACCGGTTTTGTGGGATTCCTTGGGCCAGTTAGGTTTAAAATTCATTTTAACTCTGATACATTTTTTCACTCCTAAATGATCCCATGTCTTCCTAAAATAGGTTGCTCCTCTCTTTCTATGCCACATAACAAAAGATGGCTGTGGGGTTACAAAGTTAAAAAAAAATAAATGCATTGAAAGCAAAAGGCATTCTTATTAGACAAAGCTATAGTTACTGCTTTCTCAAAATGATGCATTGCTCTTCTGAGAGAAAATATCCATTTGATATTTAGCCTTTTCATTCCTGTTGACATTTAGTGGACAAACTAGGAATAGCCATAAAAGTGTTTTGTAACCTCTTCCAGCCATACAGCAGTTGGATCTATAATGTGTTGCCAGAACTCCTCTTCATGGAGCTAAAATTCCTTGGAAGTGTAATTCTCATAGGTGTCCTTGCTTCATTAACATGGTGGCTGTTCATTCAAGATGAATCTTCCCATCCGCCTGTCATTTTCATTGGCATCATCTCATCTCGCTACAACTTTCAGCGCAGGAAGATTATTCGAAAGGTGTGGATGACAGAAATGCACAAGCAGCCCTTATTGCAGGCCAGGTTTATCATTGGTCAGTTGCCACTATCTTTTTTTTTTTTTTACTACCAATAACGAAAACTGTGCAGTAGTTTGAAAGCATAGCAATAGCCAGAGGCCTAAAACCTGACTGTTACACAATGGAGTTACAGCCCCTGCATCTAAGAGGTTAAGCATTTTTTAAGCTTTTAAGCATTTTTAAAACTGCATTTCTCTTAATTCTCTTAATTGTTCCAGGTTTAATGGTATATAGTGCTATCAATACTCATTCATGGGAAGTTCTGAGCTTGAATGGTTTTTAGTCTATATGTCCACTGACAAGATACAGTTCCTAGATATCAAGTTTCAACCTCAAAGAACTGAAACATACCTTGTTCTGGTTAGTAATGCACAATTCTATAATAATTTGCTACACTAACTTTTCATGCTTGCATTATAGCCCAGTGATTGATGTCAGCTTATAACTTCAGCATAACTTCTGTAAGGCATGATATACTGCTGGACTTGTGAGTCCTGCAGTATATCACCTCACTTGTCAAGAGCTGACAGGCATTCAGTGGTATCTCTGGCATCTTAGATATTTTTGGAGTTTTAATGTTATCTGCCAAATCTTCCTCATCCAGCATTTAATAAGTGATCTGACGTGTTGTGGTGTATTGAATATAGATCAATTTTTTATATCTTATAGAAGTCCCAATTGTTATAACCAAAACAAGAAGTGACTAGCATATTTTGCAAAGTATGAAAGAAAACCATTAGTTTTTCTAGTGACTTTTAAAGTTAGTCTTTCATCTTTATATAGTGTAATTACCACTTATAGTTTACAAATTTATGCCATAATCAAATAATTCTGCTTTGATGAAGTATTAAGTGTTCATTTATCACTGTTATCAAACATTTTTTGCAAAAACTTATGAAATACACTACTTTCATAAAATACTAAGTTGGGTTAAATTATCTTCATCACAATATTGTCCATTCACCTTTTCCTAGCCATTTCAAAACAGAAGGAATTAGCTGGCAATTGACCAGGTTTAGTGTTTCTTCAAATCTCATTCATTCAATGTTGATAGAATACCACTGGCATACTTTATTTCAGGTTCAGCTGACTGTATGATCCCTGAAAGCCTCAGAAAATCGCCACACAAATGCGAGGAATGGAAAGTGTCTCCAGAGGACATCTCACATCTCAAATCCACTTTTACATCTCACTCTCTTGATGAGCCTGTCAATAAGACACTGGAAATTTCTCTAGGATTTTCCTTCAGAGTCCTTTCCCCTATTGTTATAACTGAGGTTGGAATTTTTCAAGAACTGGATGGTGCAAAGGGGACTATGAAAAACTTGATCAATCAAGAGATTGTTTTGCCAGTATTTCAACATAAGAAAAACAACTCTTACTCTTCAGAAAGTCAAGGATATCACTTTCAGAAACTTCCTAAAAAGTATTTCCTACCTGCCAATGCAGAAATAGCTCTATCCATTTCATCTGAACTCCCTAAAGACCTTACTTTGTTAGGTATAAAGAGAAAAGTTACCTGGAAGAATGCTAGTGCCATTCAATTTACAAGTCTTATTCACTTTCGCAATATGCAGTATCATAGATTTGATGAGGCCTTCTCCCAGAATGCAATTCCTCTCATGGCAATCAAATTTTACATTCACTCACCGGAAGACATCTTGAAACAGGTTGGTTCCTCAGCTGATGTAAAAGATGCATTTCATTTGGAACTGAAAAGAAATGCCACTATGCTGAAGAATGAAATTCAAGAAAATTCTGATGTAATTATTATCAATAACCTTAGAGACTCATATGACAAAGTTACCTTAAAGGTACTTGCATTATTTGAAGAAGCTTTGAGTCTCAACCCTGATCTGGAATACATCATAAAATGTGATGATGATGTCTTTCTTGATGCTTCACATCTGATTCAATACCTTGGGCACATTCCTGTTGGTATAGATAAACGTGTTGTGGGACATTTTCGGCGCAATTGGGCTGTTCATGTGCATGGAAAGTGGGCTGACTATGATTATGATTCTGTGACGTATCCACCTTTCCCTTGTGGGAGCTGTTATGCTGTAAATAAAATTATGGCAGAGTGGATTGTCCAGAATAAGGAAAATCTTCAGTTTTATCATGGTGAAGATGTCTCGATGGGAATCTGGTTAGCAGCAGTGCATGCCATCCTCCATGATGATCCTGAAAGATGGTGCTGTGATCGAGGCTGCTCATCCAGATTGGCATTCAATCGTGTTGAATTGTCTCCTATGGAGATATTGAACACTTGGAAATGCTTCAAGGAACACAACAATTCCCTGATATTGTGTTAAGTTCCTTCTATGTTGAGACTTTGACGATTTATAACATTTTGCTTGCCTTGATGAAGTTTTTATTTCCTGTCATCATTCTAGTTTTATTTTTCAATTGTTGTTGGATGCATTCCTAGAACTTACATCAGGTGATGAGCTCCTTTTTTTATTTTCAAATAATAGTGTAGTTATGTATTCATTTGTGTTTCCTGTCTTATGAATATCTTTATTCCAATGGATTCTGTATGTAACTATGGTAACAATATTGTTTTGCTACCAGCTATAAGTAACATAAGAAGGCTTCCTGTCTTGTGTCACTTTGAATCCCTTCCTATTGACTCAGAGGCATTGTGATTACAATTCTGTTTCCTTTGTATGTGTTTTTTGGTGGACCTCCTTCCCTGAAAGGAAAGAGACCACTCATGCTCCTATCCTGTCCATCCGTGTGTCCATATGTCACACTTTGGTTGTCCTATGATAAGCAAAAAATATTAGCCTGATCAATGTGAAAATTGGCAAATGGGTAGATATGAACAAGGTACAGGCTGAGTTCGTTTTGTGGCGAATTTGCACCAAAATTGGCATTTTTATTGCAAATTTTGGATTTGAAATTTGGCCCCAGAGGGGAAGGCATGAGTACCCATGAGCCCTTCGGGTTCTGGACCACAATGCGCATACATGTACGACCCAGGCTTTGGGCTTGGCGCCATGTCAGTAACAAGAGCTGTCAGTTCCATACTAACCTTCATGGCAGATGGATCCAACCACCCACAGCCCTCCATCCTCCCATCATAGTTTCATGGGCACTGTTTGTCTATGTTTACCAAATATAAATGAGAAATGAGGTTTTTGATGGTTGAAGACCGGAAAGAGATGGCATTTTGCATAATTAGGTGACAAAGTGAGGGTTTTCTTAGCTGAAAGGAGGCCTACTACTTGATTGGGTTTGCCCAACTTGTTCTATCTGCATCACCTATTCCAACTTCCTTTCTACTTGAAATTACTATTCATGACCATTATTCATACTCTAAATACATATTGACATAAGTTGTATGGGGATGGATGAAGAAGAGTGCATAGGTAATGCAAATGTTACTTATATATGGAATTCATTGAATATATAAAATGGTAAAGATGACATCAGTCAAACAAGACATGCTAATTTAGCTATATGATATCCTCTGATGCCAAATGTATTGATTTTCATGTGAACCCTCACTTTTTCTTGCTCAGGTGGTTCAACAACATATGAAAGGTTTTATGTGAAGTTATAGTTTTCTATGGATTTACCAGGATCCTGTTGCACAACTGATCAAGTGATGGGCAATGACCCCAGCTTTGGACTGACCCTCATTGCTGGAGTTCTCATATCAGTATTACTCTTCATGTTGGGAGAATTCACCTCACAACTGTTTAGAATGAGGACAAGCACAAACAAGGAAGATTCCAAAACCAAGTGTGCATCTCCTGATTGCTTCCGTTGTGTCTTCTCAACTGCTCATGTGAAAAAGGTTAACTCTGAAGTTGATGAAATTTTGAAATTTGGCAAAATTCCTTTGAATGGGGATAGTCAGGTACTCAGAGTTGAGGATAAGACCTTCCTAAATGCCTTGAAAGAAGGCCTATTGCATGGCCAAGGAAGCATTGAGCCCCCTGTGCTATCATTGGTGAGGTTGAAGTCTCAACCAGTGTGGGATGCATGTGACTGCAATGAGGACTTAATACTCCTTGAAAAAAACTTTAATAGAATTAAAGATGATTTCTTGAGTGCCTATGTTGTGGCTGAATTGTGGTGTGAAAACTCAACCATGACTGGTTCTTGGTCCCTGTTCTACTTCATGAACCAAGGAAATGTGAACAAGAATGCCATTGCACTCTGTCCCTCTACATGGGAGATACTCCAAAGTCTGAATCACCGAGTCACAGACTGTTGCTTTGGCAATGTATTTTTCTCCATTCTTGCTCCTGAATCAGAGGTCGAACCACATTGTGGACCAACCAACTGTCGACTACGTTGTCACCTAGGCATTCAAATACCTGATAAAAGTGAACTTGTGGTAAAAGATCATCTCCTCAAGTGGGAAGAAGAGAAATGCCTGCTTTTCGATGATTCATTCGTTCACACTGTGCGGAATGGTGGAGTAGCTGATTTACCCAGGGTGGTCTTCATTGTGGACTTGTGGCATCCAGATCTCAGTCCCAGAGAAAGGAAGATCCTACAATATCTCTTCCCACCCATTTTGGCCTGAACAATTTCAGTGTTTGAGAGTCAATCATAGTCATAAAATGGTGATGATGGTTTGAGCATGTTAATTCACAGTCTTTAAAAAAAAATATTTTGGTGAGGGTGAATGATGTCTAAGTGAAAGAGAAGCTATGTGTCAAACACCACTGCTGGGTATTACTTCATTTGATAGGAGAAGAGCGGCCACAGCCATTCTCTTGTATTGTCTGTGGGCTGAACTCTCTTTTTATTGTGAGGATTTTGTGAAATATTTTGGGCAGTCTGACGAGAGTATTGGCTTTTTCCATTTTCAGTAGTTTTATGAACTTTCATCGTTGCTTTTGAATGCGTGAGGAATTTACAATTTAATAACCGCTCTAGATGCTGCACACAGAATTCTGCAAAAGCGGTAAAGTATGTAAGAGGCGAAAGAGGAAGTGCTTCCGAGGATTTGGTGTTCACCGTAATGGGGACGCAGAATCCCAAGAAATGAAAGGAAGAACTCACAAGGAAACAGTTAATTATGTATTTCCTCCCTGTCCCTGACAATGGGATATCCTAACAATGTTAAAATTAGTGGCTTTCCCAAAATGGACTGATTCCATGACAACCCACCTATCAGTAACAAACAATTCAATCATTTTCCACAGATGGGGAATTATCATTATCAGCGTGGTTGGGAAGGATGCGGGAGGATTAGTCCACTATCAAGGGCCGGTATAAGGATGCCCTGTATTGTCTGTGGTATCCTTGGGTATTACGTAATAAAGCTGGAGCACTTGGCAAGCCCCTAATATACAGGGTTATCACGGTATATGAGGAATGATTTTAAACGCTTATATCTCGAAGATGGCTTAACCTAGAGAAGTGAATGTGGCACCATTTTAAAGCCTTTTTCCCTATCTTTTTAACTAACCAACTTACAAATCTGTCATTAATATGACAGTCACCGAAGAGATGAAAAGAGCAGCGGTACTCTCGGCCCTTAGCGCCGGGAGGACCCTCAAGGAAATTGCGGAGTTCCACAAGGTCGCTTTGTCCTTCGTCTACAAGATCAAAGGCAAGGTTGACAATGCTGAGGGCCCGGACGACATCTCCACAAAGCGTAAGAAGCATGATCGTCGCTCCGACACCATCAGGACCCCCGAGTTTATTGCCAGAGTGCAGGAGATGGTGGACAACGACCCCAGCAAGTCGATGAACTCCTTGTGCAAGGAGTTGAGCGTTTCATATGGTATCATCCACCGAGTTATCCATGAGAATCTACGCTACAACTCCTACGTCCTCAAGAGAGGCCAGTTCATGGACTCAGCCATGCAGGAGAGGCGCTTGACCAAGGCAAAGAAGCTGCTTAACAAGGTCAAGCACCTCGAGAAAGATAACCTGTTGAAGTTCTTCTCAGATGAGAAGAACTTTGACCAGGACCAAAAGGTCAAAAGGAGGAACGACAGGTGGCTGTGCAAGGACCCTGATGACGTGCCCAGGGTAATGCACACGACGAGAAAGATAACCTGTTGAAGTTCTTCTCAGATGAGAAGAACTTTGACCAGGACCAAAAGGTCAACAGGAGGAACGACAGGTGGCTGTGCAAGGACCCTGATGACGTGCCCAGGGTAATGCACACGAAGTTCCCCGCCACTGTCATGGTCCTCGGGGTAATGAGAAGAACTTTGACCAGGACCAAAAGGTCAAAAGGAGGAACGACAGGTGGCTGTGCAAGGACCCTGATGACGTGCCCAGGGTAATGCACACGAAGTTCCCGCCACTGTCATGGTCCTCGGGGTCGTCTCCAGCGAAGGGGACGTCATGCTCCCCCACCTCTTTCAGAAGGGCCTGAGGGTCAACGCGGCTGAGTACTTCAAGGTACTGAGGGACGTAGTGAAGCCCTGGATGGACACCATCGCCGATGGGAGGCCTTATGTCTTCCAGCAGGACTCTGCTCCTTCCCACAAGGCCAAGGTGACGCAGGAGTGGCACGAGGAGAACGTGCCCTACCACTGGTTCCCGGACGTTTGGCCTCCGTCGAGGGGGTTGTATTTAGGGAACCTGATGATGCACAACCCGCAACAACTCTCCCTCTGATTATTCGTAGGGGTGTTGTGGGAGCTGAGACAGGCAGTCAGGTAGTGGCTGCAGTACTGGTTGTACGAGAGGGCCCAAGTTGCCAAGGCCTGTGGCCAATTCCGCTCAAGGATTGAGGCCGTCATCGCTGCCAATGGCGGGTTTATTGAATAATTGCAAACTGTATATCAGGAACTGCTAGTGTGGAAAATTTCATTTTAATACATGCATTTTTTCCCATGTAAATTCATTGTTTCCCTTCATTAGTAAAAATTCCTCATATACCGTGATAACCCTGTATATTAAATTGTGTATCAATACACGGTAATAATGGATAATCTTGTTACCTTATTTATTGAACACGCCTCGTAGCTGCGTTCTTATTGCGATGCTCTTGACTATCTGGTGTAAACAAGTATCATTGAAAGGAAAAGCCTCAGCGTTTAAGGGGAGTTTTAAAAGAGGGGTTGGAAGGGGAAAACATTCCAAAGAACTGAGTCCATGATTTCATAGGAGGCACTCAATATTCTCTTCCTTCTCTAGCCTTAATACTCTAAACACACCATATAATTCAGGTCTTACCTTCTCACCTGAGGCCTAAAGAATGCTACACAATCAAGAATACTATGGCCCAATAATGCGCAAAAAAGTCGGCCTTGATGGCGTCAAAAGAGAGAAATATTTTGAGCGTCAAAGTGCAGTCATTTGATTTGAAGAAATCTTATGACTGCCGCTTTTTTAATCCATATGATCAGATGGATGAAAAGAGCGGCACCCTTGAAATGTTCACATTTTCAGGAAACAAATTTCTGCTTCCAATGTGATATAATAACATATTACGAACCTAGACTTTCCACTCAGTTTCATAACGCGTGAAGCAAGATGTTACTTTGCGCTACCTAATAAGTACAAGCAACGGATGCCGATCCCCAGGGCCATTGCGATTTAACTACATATTCTGACAGCTGACATTTCGCTTCGCTTTCCTTCGTTATACAGACAATGGTTTCAAGAATCATGCACCCATTGACGTAAAATGGTGGTTTTCTCTGACGTAGAAATGTGTGTAAAATCAGGAGTGCGTTCATTATTGAACTGCTCCGCAAAGGAAGCCCATAATGACTTGAAAGTGATGGATGAGAGTGATTTCTCATTGTAGTCCTACCGGGTGTTGCACATTCAGAATCAAATGAAATGATGCCCCTCCCCCAACGCAACCTAAACTATGTAAACTATAAATAATAATAATAATAATACTGATGCGCCATGAGGAAAAAAGTTCATTTTTGAATCTAGTCATCTACATTTAGCAGTTCGTGTGCCAGGATCTCAAACAGCTTCAAGACGAACGGTATATACCGATGAGATGAGAGTTCCTTGTCGTCTTCTATGTTTCTCAGAGGAACTCTGGCAATGTTTTTTCTTCTTCCAAGATATACCAGTAGAATCAATGTTGCATGTGTGCGAGAATACCTCAACTTTCTCCTTCAGGATAGCTTCGATGCTCTGTCATATTTCAATTGGGGAGCTTCCAGGTCATTCCGCATTTCAAATGTAATCGTCTCATCTTTCTCATAACCCATGTGTGGAAAAACAATTAAAATCCTGTACCACGACGAACTTCTAGAACAGCAGTAGCACAATGCGATCAATGTTCATATAATTTCTCTTTTGGCATAGCGTCAAAAAAAAAGAAAAAAATGGGGTTGGCTGGAATCGAAATTGCATGAGGACTCCAAATATGTTATTGTTGTGTTCTGGCTCTAATATCGTAGGCTGTGGAGTGGGGAACACCGACCTAGAGGCATGTCTCGTCCAATTTTATTAATGCACGTCTGCCAAGGAAAAGGGGGGGGGGGGGGGGGGGGGGGGGGGGAAGCAGGTCTTTCTCGTGGTACAATTCATTCGTGATACTTTCTCAATTAGCTTCTGCGAACGAGAAAAACTTTCCCGAGATGGGTTCCCCCTGTCCTCACTGCGCATAATATGGCACAGGAAAAGTTGAAATAAGCAGGGGAAAATGAAAATAATCCCTTGTTATAAAATACTTTTTTCTAATCTCGTTTCAGTGGGGATCTAGAAGTAAGGTGAACAAGGCTTGCAACGGCCACATCAAGCGAAAGTTTCGAACACCGACTGACGCGACGAAAGAAGGCGGAAATTACCCATTCCCCTTTCTTTCCAACGCCACAAAAATAATGAATTTGAATCCATGAATCCTTGTTTGAATCCATGAACTATCTCCAGGATGCGCGAAGTCAACTTGATCGCCAAAAGACGACCTCATGTGGGCGGATATATCAAGAAGAAGTCGCAAAAGAGAAGGCTGAATCCTACTCGCTTATATCGCCTACTCTTTGCAAGAAAATAAATAAATAAATAGAATCCTCTCAGTCTAATTTTTCCTTTGCTGGAAAGTAGAAATAACCGCTTGATCTAATAATTAATTTCTTGTCAGTGAAGTCCCAAGCAGTAATTGCATTACCAGGTTGTGTTTAATATTGCCGTCGTGGCTGTGAGAGAGCGAGAGTCCCCTCAAAGACTCAGGGGCTTGAGTCTTCGAGTCAGGATCACGAGACTTCGAGTCACGCTCTGTCCTGAGTCAGGGCAGATCGTGGCCTCAAGAAGGTTGACGTGCACCCACGCAGGTGGATGAGAGCGTGCAACGTCCACCGGTGTTCGCGAAGCTTGCAAGGCAATTTATTGCCGTCCCTCTGACGTATTCGTCGTTCTGCGTAAGTTGCACTCTATTATGCTCCACGAAGTGTGGGTGAAGTGAAAGGATTGCGTAAAATTGCTTCAGATCAAATCAGACCTTCCTGGCCCATCATTGCCTCCCGACGACATCTATCCCTAGACTCGGAAAATACCTATTTGTACTCACTCCCGGAGATGTCTGTGGCGAATAGGCAAGCGGTGAAACTGGCTCCATATCATCGACGAAGTAATTAAGAGGAAAACGGG